AGAGAGAGAGGGAGAGAGAGAGAGAGAGAGAGAGAGAGAGAGAGATCAGCCTTCACGAGGACGAAGCTCTGGTTTGAAACTGGTCATGACAGAGACCATCAGCGACTCTGATGTCTGGGTATGCATGTGGTAGCGCATCGCACCTAAGCATGCAGTGGTGCCAGTTCTCAGAACTGCCGCGACTTAGAACCGACAGCACCTTTCTCGAGAGTTGCGAATAGTTGCAAAACAGAGGTGCACTGAGAAATACAAAGCTAGGCTGTCGTTGAGCCCTGCTTTGGAGAAACCTCAGTTAATTCATGCGTCCGGAAGCGTTCGATTCGCAAAGCTATCACCAAATTTCCCAGAGGATTCGATGAGATTTCCGAACACATGACGGACTGCGCAATAAAAGTTATGGATTGCCGCTGTAATACTGACTGTGTGACGCACTTCTGGCATCGGAATCTCGTGTGCTGCGTTCTGGAAGCAAGGCACAGTTGCTGACTAAGGCAGTAAAGTGCATGAGTGAGGGCAATCACGGGCGCTATTTGTATACCACTTATGGGTGCCCCACTATGGGGACTTGCATACCACGTGGTGAGCAAAGCGCGAAGCAAAGCGCGAAGACGTGCGGTGTGATTAACTGTTCAGTTTCTAAAGTATGTATGTCAGGGGCGGCACCGCAGGTGGGAGATGGGGAGGGGGAGGACAGAGGGGTAATTATCCCTTGCCAGCAAGCAGGGGGCAAGGGTATGCTTTTGTCGCCTCATTAACATTTTTGGAGTCTCTATTTTCCTAAGCTTAAGACATTCCAGCCACCCGTAGATTGTCAAAACTCAGATCATGGAGGACCAGATATCTGAGCTTTAGAGTTAAAATGAACTAAAGCTAGACCTGGGCAATAATTGGACTCAGAAAATCCTTTTCTACGCCAAGAGGTCTGTTTTCTGGATCATCGCGTCACCTTTATGAATACGGTAGAACATGTTCTAGATAAGTAGACCCAATACCATGTTGAGCAAGCCCTTTGCTGGCTCTGGAGGCCCCTTTTAGCAGCAAAGAGGTCCCTGTTCTGGGTTAGGAGGCACCTTCTATATTTAGGAGGTCCCATCTAAAGAACACGAAACCCCTCTTATGCATGACATGACCGCGGTTCCTTATCATGATGCCCTGTTTTGGGATAACGAGAACCCGCGGACAGATTTGGAGGTCCCCCATCATGAATCAGAAACATCCTGTTTTGAATTAGGAGGCTCCTCTATGTATCAGTAGGCCCTTTTATGGAGCAGGAGGCCCAGGTATCCACCGGACCCCGGGTCTTGAACCCACCAAAGTCTCCGATGCGTCCCTACGCTACCGCCACAACTGCACAGATCCCTGCTGACCCACCTCGGGACATGCCAACGAGCAAGTGTCGTGCGATAACATCAGCATGCGACCCACTCTTCCGCCGCCGCCTCCCGTGACTCCTTCCAAGCCCCATCTGCCTCCTGGAGACCCGGAAGACGCCGGCCCAAACTCGGCCCGATTACCATGTAGAAATGAGGGCGGACGCGGCTGAGTTTGCCGCGGCCCGCCGGGGTCCACGCGATGTCCAATCAGCCGCCATCACCGACGAGCTGGGGGTCGCACCCCCAGCTGGGGTCACCGCAGTACCCCGGCGTCGGCGGCCGCGGGCGCCGCTTAACGGCACGGTCACTCGGGGTGAGGCGCAGCGTCGCCTGTGGTTGACAGTCGGCTGATGTTCAGCCGCCTCGGTTTGGGTGCGTTGTGCGGAAGGAGGCCGGCTTGGACAGACCTGATGACCTTCTGGCTGGACAAGCTGTGGCATCTCAGCCGCTGTGTACGTGAGACTGCAGTTTAAAGCACGGTATTGGTGTACTTGACTACAGAACACGCTGCATGCCGCTTCAACATGGGACAGCCCACCACACTTATGTCTCGCAAGCCCGTTTCAGCAGACCGAAGTTCGCTTACCCGTGGTCACGTGTCACGCGGGTATGCCTCTTCGGCTCAAAACTTACTTCCCGCCTGCAGTGGCGTCGGTCAACTACTCCGGCTCCAATGGGACCCGAGTCGGAAACGAGAAGCAGCCCTTCTCGGAAAACTGGCTCCACCCTGCGGCGTGGACGGGGTTCCCTCTCAGCGCGCGCTGCTCACCGTCAAGGTCAAAACTCCGGGGTCAGACAGGTCAGTGAACTGGGCTGCCCCTCAGGGGGTCGAGGACAGAGCTCTCGTACAGAGGGGCGAATGGGCGGTGCCATCTCTAGCGCGCTGGTGCTGATCAAGGCGAAAGTGCCGAGCTCAAACACGTCAGACCTTGAAAAAGAAAGGTCAGCAAACAAAGAGTCTTAGTACAGTACGCTCAGCATGATCCGGATCTGCTGCCTTTGGCAGTCAAATGAACTGACTTTTATTCGAAGCCAAAAGAAGAAGAAAAAAACAGAGAGCACGCACAGTTGTATCGTGCCGGATCGCGCCGCTCCTATTGTTCCGGTTTCACAAAATGGACCAAACCTAACGCACTCTGAATGCCAGCGACACGAACGCTTTATTCAGTTTCGTGGCCCGCCTGTCGTGTCGCGCTATCCACCTAGGAACCGCACCTCCAGACGTAACGCTATATTGTTATTCGGGTTTGACGGTGCGTCGACAGCAGCGGCCATTTTGCACGTTGTTACAATGGGGCTTCAACATCTCCTGTGCTTCTCGTAAAATCCCAGTTATATCTCCATCACCGTTGCATCGACCTCAAGAGCCTCATTTGTGGGGCTACACACTCGGTGCACCACCACACCTCGTTGACCCTTAGTCGTTCGACGTCGTGATGTGCTGACTTGGCGGTCACCAGATAGCAGGCTGCGGGATATTCGCCATGAATGGACGCCATTTCCGCTGTGTAAATGATCGCTGTAATCTACGTTGCCGGCGCGGTGGCATGCGAGTGTCCGATTAGTTCGGCTCCAACGGCCGAATCCGTGCCGCCGACCCGCGCCCGGATGAGCCCTAACTGCGACCTTTGCCGGCAGTGACCCCACCGGCCAGAAGGATGAGTGGTTCGTGTGAGAGGCAGTGCCCCCGCAGGGGGGCGTGGCCTGCTGACCCCAGCGGACACGCCCACGCGGCGAGGAGGTGGGGAGTGGCTGGCTGGTTCGGTCTGTCGTTCATCTGATCGGCCCAGCGGTCATCGCCAGCGTCATCGGGGAGCGACAGACTCCCGACGGCGCTCCAACTCACCGGAGGCTGGGGAGACAGCCGAGCCGGCGCTCCAGGCTGGCGGAGGCTGAAGACGTCCGTGTCGGGAATGTAGTTCATCTGCGGCCGAGACACCTGTGTCGGGGCTGTAGTTCATCTGCAGCCGAGACGCCCGTGTCGGGACTGTAGTTCATCTGCGGCCGAGACACCTGTGTCGGGACTGTAGTTCATCTGCGGCCGAGATGCCCGTGTCAGAACACTGGGCCGTCTGATACTGAGGGCCTGGTGCTCGCACCGCTGTCAACTGAGGGACTTATCGGAACTCCGGAGCAACTAAGGCCGGTGAAGCGCCCGTGGTCCGACTCTAGGCCACCCTAGGCTGGGGAGACGGCAGTGACGGGTCTCCAGACTGTCTCAGACAAAGGGGCACCAGTGCGCGGTAGGGATTCAGTGACCGGAGACAGTGTACGCATCCTGGGCCGGGGCCCTGGATCATCTGCGACCGCGGAGAGGCCTCTCAGCCGTGCCGAGGAGTGTCAGGCCCCGTGCCGTCGGGTGGCGGGACGACAGCCGAGCCGTGACATTAGGTCAGTCAGGGCCGAGGCGACACCCGCGCCGTGCGGGGCGTTTGGGTGCCCCGAGTCGGGGCAGCTGGTCCCGCTGGCCAAGCTGGACAGGCCCAGTGACGGACACCGCTGCGGTCGACTGAGCAGCTTTCCATGGCAACCCTCCGAAACCCGGGACAAACACCACCGGGGCCGGACGCCCAATGTGCCCTCTCCAGCCCGCTGGTCATGTCCGCCTGCAGCGCAAGGCTTCACCAAAGCAGACCTTTAGCGTGCAGACGTCCGGCGTCGCGCGCTCGACGCAGCGCCCAGCTCCTGCCACCTGTGCGGCCGGGGGGCCTTGTCGACAAGTCCGGAACGGCAGGCGGGCGACACAAACACACCGGTCAGACGAGACCGACGGGCGCCGCTGACACGCGCGCGGCCGGCGTACCCCTGTGTGCGCACTTGCGTGCCTATGTGAGCGTAGAAGTGCGTGCTGTACGCGTGGGTGTGTGGCGCTGGACTTGTGAACCCGCGAGACACGAGCCCGCGCGTGCCAGTGAATGCTTACGTAGGCTGAACTCATCTCGTGTGTGTGCGTGCATGTGCGTGTCGTCCGGATGAGCGCGCCCCCGCAGGTGTGCGCCCCGGCATGTGCGTCACTTCCCTGTGCCTGGAGGTTAGGGTTGTGTGTCATCCCGCGTCCCCCGCGCGCATCGGTTAGGTAGATCATGGCTTTAATAGCGGTCCCGGGCGTCGCCCCGCGCGCAGGCGGGCTGTCTCGGCGCCGGACTCGCCGTAGTCTCGCCGTAGTAGCATCGCGCCGCTGCCGTGGTTCCCGCCGCCTCTCGGCATCTCATGTCACGGTATCATGTGATATCTCCGTTTGACTGCTAGCAAACGCGCCTGTTCCGTTCCGGAAGTGGAGCTCGTTTTTGTTCATTTCGGCCCAAAGTTTCGCGCGACACCAAAAAGCGCGGCTCCGCCCCGGCGCGCGCCGCTTGATCTGCATGTTCGCCGCGACGCGCTCTCATATCAGGCTAAAACATATCCCGGCATACGTATCAACGCACGACCAGCGTCCACAAGTTACATATGCGAAGCGACTTTTCGAAGCGTTTACGGCGTTTTGGTGTATTCGTAATGACACCCGCGTTGTGGAAGTGCACCATCGGGCGAGTGAACGGGCGCTGTTTTCGACCATCACTTTGAGGCTGCGTGACAGAATAGCCTGTATCCGGAGTAGTGCATGTGCGCGGACGGTTCAGAAGGCACGCAGAACGGTTGCTAAGGCGACCTGGGCGCGTTAGCCAGCGACGCATCTGGTTGCCATGGTCACTGAAAGCAGCCCGAGTGGCAGCCCGACAGTCTTGCCTGCCTCGGCGCGTAGTGAGTTACATTTCTGTGTTGAGTTTTTGTAAATTTGTATCGAGTCGTTCTTGTATGTAGCGCACGGATCTTCGCTGTTTGTACATAACGTCACCGGTAACATAACAAGCAAATACACCGCAACAACATTCCCAGCGGCATTGTACGCGTTCTTGACGACATTCGATACGGCAGAGGACGACACCACCTGCTGGCGATTGAGGGGAGGGAGGGGGGGGGGAGCTTTGAGGCCTACTGCTTATGCGCGGCGCTATGTCCTATTTCACTGACGGTGGTAAGTCTCGCCCGCACTTCTATTGACGCCGCCTCCAGACACGCTCGACGTGCCGGCGAAGATGAGCACTAGCTTGACCTGCCGGGCCGCAGCTGGATCCAGTGGAGCCATTTCAGCCTTGGCTCTCCAAACGCTCAGAAGGAGCCAATCGAGGGACCAGAAGGGCCAGAAGGGGCCGATTATGTCTTTTCATTACATCCATGTCATACGAACTCATGCGAACTTGGTACGAACTTGCCACACGAACTTAACAAGAATGTCAAATGGCTTATTCCCTTCGAAGATAAGATACAAAGATACAAAAGGAACGGGAGCGGGAACGATCGGCGAGATACAGAAGGAACGGGACACACCCTTGGTTTTGGTAAGTTGCATCCTTATCTGGATGTACTTTAATCACAGCCATTATTCTGAAGCCATTCATATTTCCTTTCAAACGGACAGTATATGCAGGGGGTGACCGGCCTGCGGCTCGTTTGAAACAAACAGCACCCAGGTCAGTCTGATCGCCGGCAGAGGGGAGGTGGGTGGGTGGGGGTGTGGGTGTGGGGTGGGTGAAAGCACCGAAGATGATGAAACAGGTGACCTGCGTGGAGTTCTGTGAGGAAAGGGAAGGAAATTATGCACTGAGATGCGCTCACACTCAAATAGGAATAAAGATAAACAGACGGAACTATGAAAAAGGCCAGTTTAGTTTTAATACGTTTTTACGGCACACGGGCAACCCTGAATAATTATTTAGCACAGGGAAAGAGCTAAAATGCCTTCATGTGTCTTGGTATCCTGGTGAACAGACCAATCAAAACACTTCATCCGTATTCACAGACAGACGTAACGGATCTTGGACTCCGCTCCACATCGTCATTGCAGTCATTTCCCTGCAGTAACTTTTTTACTTTTGTTTTTTCAGTCAGTTTTTATTTCTGAGGTGCATTACACACTTCCGTCTTAGCTAGAAAACAGCAAAATAAGATAGGTTTAACCCAATCCCCAGATACAGGCGATGGTCGTGCACTTCTTCAATTCAGTTGTGAAGTTCCTTAATTTTTTTCATCGAATTCGTCTAAAATCAAAATACAGGAACCAAACCCGGGAATGAATTCAATTTTAAGTGCAGACTGGGTTACTTAGTCAGCCTTTTCCCCTCCTTCTCAAGCCGGACGGCTGGATCCGTCAGTACGACAAGCATGGACACTCTCGCTCCCCAGCAACGGAGGCTCGCTGAAGGGGGGGGGGGGTCCCCTCGAGCCGGCAGTGGACGGTGAGCTGATGATGCCCTCCCAGGCCGAGCGCCCACCGGCAGCCGTAGCCAGTAACTCTGTCACAAACTTCACCTCTTTGCAATTTACTGCGAGCCATTTGCGCCGAAATAGCCGCAGCGACACCTCCGACGCGCTCTGCCTGCGACGCGGTGATTAAGTGGCACTGTTCTCCATTGTGCCCACACGCGGTGTCCGAACTAGTTTGGTTTCGGTGTGGACACAGAGGTCTGCCGGTCCGGTCACTCAAAGCGTCTTCTAAAGATATCCGGGACCCTTATCGGGCTGCCGTTGATTTTCTCGGTAGCCTGGATGGAACACTTTCGCGGACTCATTCATGGTAAGCGTTCATGGTAAGGCTATGCCAGAAGCATCATAAAAACTGGTGGGTCATCCGATGAACGCAGAACAGCATGGAAAGAGGAACACAAGGGCGGACCGGAGCACGGAGGGGGCACAGGAAAAGTGACATAATGTCAAAGAGCATTGGTTGTTAAGTGCCGCTGCGAGGAATGCTACACATAAGCGAGATCAGGACTATTGTCATTGTCTGTCGTTGATGAATAACGACACGGTGAACGAATATAGCCATATTTATATGCATGATAAAATCAGTGACGACGCATCTTACTTCTGACGCAAACACCATCGCCAGGTGGATGCTGCTAAAACCTAAGCGGATGGATGAAGCCATACATATGTGGAATCCATAAAAACGAACGTGGTGGGTGCGTGAGAATATACAGCTTTCATCGAAGTTTCGCAAGTGAGAAGGTTCACTGGCATTCACGTCGAGTTCGTAAACTACCTTACTTGCATATTGCCTAGCCCCGACCCTGTCCAGGTTCAACCATCGAAACAGATGACGTTCACTGATTTGTCGTTTGGTGGCTGTCAGCAAGGCACGCAAAGGCGTCATTGCCTGCCTCACAGTCATTCAATGGTGTTGCTGCACGACAATGTTCGGCTTGTGAGGCCATCTGTACGCGGTATATTCACCTTCAGGGGCGCAGTCAGAGTACACAGGGGCACGTGCCACTTCGGTTCTGAGAAGTCCCCAAACTCCTTGGGACCAATGATCAGGGGTCCCATTAAAGGGCCAAGAGGGCCCGATGAGCTGGCCTGGGGCCGTAGTAGTAGCCCCGTTCCGAGCAGCCGGGTCCCTACAATAGGGCTCTATGTCGGTCAGAAACCGTTTAGACCGAAAGTGGTCAACAGAGTATTCCATGTCGGCAAGGAGTCCCAAGTTGATCAGGAGACCATCCGCTGAACAGGAACACAGATGAGATCATACACAGATGAGATCCACACAGCACACACAACACAGATGAGATCCACACAACACACACACACAACACGGATGAGATCCGAAATGGCAGAGTACCTCTTGCGTCAGCCTTCTGAGAATGAAAGAAGGCATGATGGAGGAAAATGAAGTGGTCCGACATGACACAACGCCCCTGTGTCAGGGGACCAGTGCCGAAGGGCGGAAGGGAGAGGCGGGGGCACGCTTCACCCAGAGGCCCGATGTGCCGAGCCGCGCCCCACGAGCCATCAGTTGAACACCTTCACTCGTATACGATTCTTTCGTGCCAGTGAGGGCACCTGCGTTGACCTAGGACCAGCTTCCCCGATCAGAGGGTCTCCTGCGTCATGGGGGGGAACTGATGTCCGTTGAACCCTTCTGAGGGGTTCCAGATCAACTAGGGCCCCGGTCCCCGTGTCACCAGAATAGCATTTGGTAGGGACTCCAGGTTTGGACAAGAATCTCCTTCAGTCCCGACAGGAAAGAAATAAGTACCTAGTTTTTTTTACCCACGGAGCCGACAAGGGTAAGGGATTTCCTTAGCGTTCAATAGGGTGGATCAAAACTTTCTAGTCTAGTAGAGTCCACTTTCTAGGACATGGCTAACAAATGTTTCGCTGAGGCCGTCGATCCTTTTTCAGGATCATTTAGTGAACAAACTGTTTTTAGTAACGTTGAGCATTCACGTCCGAAATCTTTACCCGAATCGGACTACAATCGGACCCTTCAAGCCTTACACACTAATCCAAGGATAATGAAATCTTACGTTTGCTTTTTGTTCAACTAGCCTCGCCATAACGGTATGATCAATATTGTTACATATATGAAAGCTCCACCGAAGGCACTACCGCAATTGTAACTACCATCATCCTTCGATTTAACCCAAACCAAAACTTCGCAGCATTATTGCAGGGTATAGAGCAAATGCATGACAAAGCATAACAATGTCGTATGAGCCAGGAGATGGCGCAACTTGCCCGTCTTTAGGCCGAAAATGATTTCCTGGATGAGCTGACTCTATGAGAAAATGTGCCAACCCTATTTCCATATGAGCAAGGCGAAGGCTTAAGCAACCCCTCCGAATTTGTTGCTCTGCCATACCTGCAGTTTTTGAACGGCTCCCTTGCAGTGCGTTGACCTTTTCTTACTTTTATGGTTGCACTTTGTGTTTGGCTTTCAACATGTAGGGCAAACCAGTGAAAGATGAGCCATTTTTTACATTTTGACGAACTGCGATACACGCATGGAAATTTCGAAGTCTTGACTATACACGATGAAGAGTTGTTCTCTTGCGCACACATTAGCGTGCCAATGATGCGCGTCACTTTATATAAAACGGACGCCATTTTCACTTTTAATGGCATTGTCCGATGACACATCTTGCCAGTGGGTGGGGTAACATGTTCCACGTCTTGTGGCAGGTTGGGTAGCATTTGTTATCTATGAAAAAATTGTGTTCATGCATACGTGTATTTCAAAAATTGCTATCAACACACGAAGTTAGCTTCCTTCGCTATGACAAAGTCTTGCGTAACCCAAGGAACAGAAATATAATGCACTGGAACGGAATCGTCAAATCGTATCCACTTTAGGAAAGTCCAAACCACAGTTGTGACGCTCGCACTAACTATCGCAGCCATCTATCTATCTACGTGTCTAAATGTATATATATATATATATATATATATATATATATATATATATATATACATATATATCTGTGTGTGTGCGTGCGTGCGTGCGTGTGTGCGTGTGTGTGTGTGTGTGCGTGTGTGTGTGTGTGTGTGTGTGTGTGTGTGTGTGTGTGTGTGTGTGTGTGTGTGTGTGTGTGTGTGTGTGTGTGTGTGTGTGTGTGTGTGTGTGTGTGTGGTGTGTGTGTGTGTGTGTGTGTGTGTGTGTGTGTGTGTGTGTGTGTGTGTGTGTGTGTGTGTGTGTGTGTGTGTGTGTGTGTGTGTGTGTGTGTGTGTGTGTGTGTGTGTGTGTGTGTGTGTGTGTGTGTGTGTGTGTGTGTGTGTGTGTGTGTGTGTGTGTGTGTGTGTGTGTGTGTGTGTGTGTGTGTGTGTGTGTGTGTGTGTGTGTGTGTGTGTGTGTGTGTGTGTGTGTGTGTGTGTGTGTTTGTATATATTGCATATAACTATCGCACCAACTATCGTTGCTTCATGCCTCCACGCATAACAAGTATGTCGTATCTTCAGCACTACCATCGTCGGAAGACGGCGTTCTGTTCTTTCTCGACTTCCGCTTCGCTTTTTAGCCTTGTGGCTTTGATTTCTCGCGCATCGCCTTATTCCTCGC